TCCCTCATAGCCTGGTGAGTGCGTGGGCACCTCAGAATTTTTCTCTCACACTTTTCATTGAATAATTTTTCATCACTCGTATACTAGTGGAAGTCCCATTCAACACTGACCCGCCATGTTTCCATGGCGTTTGTGATTATCTGTGTCCTACAGGCACTCATTCAAAGCAACAACGTTATGACACAGCTTCAGATTTCCGAATGCTGACCGGATTTCTTTGATGCCACTTCCACTAACTGAAGTATGAACCCCTTGTCGGGTGCTCGTTTTATGACGATCCTCACCTCCCTTAGTCTAACTTAGTTTAAAACCACTGGCATTGGTGGATAGCAAGGATTTATGAAGTGGAGGTTGTTAACTCTTCTAGGAGCGACCAGGCGTCCACCAATCGACCAAATGTCCGCTGCACTCAACTGGAGGTTATCCACTAGGCAAAAGCTAGACCAGTAATCCTCTCTAAAACCGTTGGCCCAGACGTTGTGCTGAATAGTTGTATACGAATTTTAACCCGTCCACGGAATTTCCATCTTCCGCTAGACCAATCGATCTCACATTGAATTCTCCGTACTATTGATGTCACCCGGCACTGACTGGACCTTTAGGTCCACCGCTTTCCTAACTCTGACGAAAATTTGCATTCTTCTTGAAAGCCGGCTACGTGTTCATCCACCGTTTGCCGGCCAAACGAAGAGAAATTCTCTGAATGGTGTGTAGCTTTTTTTTATATGACAATGAGATACTATGTAGGAACTGCCGCGTTGTCTGCATCATCTTTAATTACTCACTGATCTTTAACTTCTGGAGCTGTTCGGAACTGCATTTTCTTAGTACCCGAGCCCCATTCTCACCCATTCAAGCAACTTTTTATCAGCTTGAGTCGTAGTTTGATTGAGTTGTCCACATTTCCTTATCCGGACACGGACCGGCCGAGCGTTCTCCGGTTTTTCTTTAGTGCAACTGTTGCAACAGTGTATCGGTGTTAATGGGTGTCTCGACTTCGTCGCAATTTGTCTGCGTCCGGTCGAGGCTTCTGCTTCCGTTGGTCATATAACACTGAGGGGGGTTAAAAGACAACGGTGGTACTTCGTAGGCGGCTGGAGAGTTACATCACAACCTGTGTGCCTGTGTTACACCTCGTGGCTACCTGGACGATATTGTCTCAGCTGCCGATGGAGCACTGAGCGCGAGGTGACTGGATCGATGACGTGAAAGCGCACGTGAGGTGGCTACTACAACAACACCGAAGACGAAATGGGAAAGCGAAGAGAAGGGGAAATGACCATCACAATATAGACTACGCTCAATGATATCTTGCCTGTTGACTTGCTACAGCGACACTCTGATGCGTTACAGCAACAAATGAAGTTTGTCCGAGCCATTCCCCTCTCTCTTCTCCCATGTAACCGTTATGGACGTTTGCGTTCCACCTGAGCTAGAGACTTAACCTTTTGCTTGAGAGTTGGAACTGTGCATTTTGTACTCGGCCTATGTCCAAATGTGGATACGTGGTTTGGTGTATGATGCTCCATCTATTGATATGTTCTCTGTGCCTACTTGGGAGCAGTTCTCCAGGCGACGATTTCACGGATGGCTATGTCACTTCGCTTGAACATTCGGTTGTATCTGTATTTATTATTGTTGTTAATTCCGTCTTTCTAACACATTTAACTGATTAAGCACTCTGCAAATTCGTCTGGGAACCGATTTGAACAACTTGGGAAGTTATCTGTTTTACGTGTTCCCACTCTACATGGTAGTCATATCACCGGGTTACAATGTGTCTTACATTGTCGAGAAACATACCATTTATGTAGTTATTTATTTACGCTGCTGCTGCAGCACCGCACTGACGCTGTATTCTTTTTTGTGCATTTATAATAGCCACTCAAATGGGCCGTTCGCTGCACTTATCTTGATTTTATAGTACTCGTCTGGCGCTTTTCCGAACTAGGCTCTGCTATGTAGCTTGTGAACTGTTGGGATGAAAGCCTTATCAGACTTATCTTGATTGTTGTGCTGTCGTTGATGTCACACAACGGATAACGTCGCCGTGGACATCATAAACACTCGGCCAGTTTTTAGGGCTTTATGCACCCCTGCTAACATTAATCCATCGTCTTCTCAGGTGACACCAGACGATTTCTCGTATCTTACCACCTACTATTAGGTTATCCCAAAACAGATCGAAAATTTTAGCACATTTTAACATTCAACAATATTTAATCAATATAATATCCATTGTTGTCGACGCTTTACTGCCAACACTCAGGTAAGCGGTCGATGATTTCTCATAGAATGAGTTGGGTTGGCTGTCAGTGTTGAGTAAGTTACGTTTCGATGTAGTCGCGGTCATCAAATTACTTGTCCTTGACTTCATTGTGCAACGAGGGAAGAAAGTGGTGGTCAATGCAGGTCAGGTCCGGACTATTTGTTGGATGCATCAGAGCTTCGCTACAAGGCTACTGAATCTTGAGACGCGTTACTTTTGCCAAGTGAAGATGTACATTTCTCTACCTGAAAAACAATTCGTGCTGCTCTTGGACGTTTTTTTTCTGTCTTCCTTGACCGTCTGTTGCAGCTGTTGATAATAGACATCGGCAGTAACGGTTAACTTGTCAGGTAGCAGTTCCCAGTAAATGATGTTGCCGCAAACCCATCAGACGGGCAGCATCACTTTTTTGCTGTGGAGTTCACCTTTTGAGACTTGTAGTGGCGTTTCATCTGTTGCGATGCGCTAGCGCGTCCTGCTTTGATTCACATAGAGCACCCACTTCTGGTCTCCAGTAACGAAATCATTCAGACCTCGATGATTGCTTCTTCGGGTGAACAATGAAAGTGCGATAGCACAACGGCTCGAAAGCTGCTCATCAGTCAATTCGTGGGATTCGAGTTACCCGAGCTTTGGGACCATTCCGGATTGGCGCAAATGGCGATGAATGATAGTTTTTGGAATTCCAGGATGTGACGGAAACTTACACATACTTTGTCTCGGATCCTTCTCTAGAGCGTCTTGGAGGCTACTGGCTGTCCACTGGTTTGCGTCCTTGACTCCTGCTGTCTGACAATTCATAGTTCTCTACATTGTATCGACGTAACCAAAATGCCGCTATACAGTAACTTGGTACATCCTTGCCTGGTACGTCACGTAGATTTCTACAAGCCCCTACTGTTCTGCGTCCTTAAAGGAACTCACGCAATAGGGATCCGCGAACAGCATGTTGATCATTTACCAGTACCGCAGTCATTGCTAAGATGCAGGATAATTGCACAATGTACAATTATTCTTCCATATTAAAGAATCTTCGAGGAGCCTCTAGAAATTCTGGAATCGTATGGAAAAAATGTCAGCTGGCTTCGGGATAACCCTGCAACGTTTTTCATATCTTGTGGGAACACCTGAAGCTCAGCATCAAGGTTCTCCATCAGGGTTTGGGGACGGATCCGCAATCACTTCTCTGAACCGTTTTTCTCTCACACCACTCAGATTAGTGGTGATGAGGATGCTGAAGAGGTTCGCAGGCTGCCCATTGAAAGTCACGTATTACATAATCTAAAATGCAACGGTATCACTCGTGACGTTTATCACACCCGGCGCCTATTACGCTTCATTGAGTTGCACCACCATCCATCATCGACAACTTCGATTTCCTACTGACTCCCGTTTATCGCCTTCTCGGTTGCATCTCCTCTATTCTTCCTTTTTGTTTTTCTTGACTTTTTCACGGCCTATCTAGTGTCCTATCACTAATCTATGATTCACACCAGTGCGCCGTTTTTGAATAAAACGCGCTTCAGTCGATGAGCTTCAAATGTGACAACGGTAACAATTTCGCCCAAACGGCTGAGACGCGCTGGTGCGTGTCATCTTGCTGCCTGATATCTGACCACATCAGCAGCTGGGTTGGCTGCACGGCGGTACCTACTGACAGTCGATGATGCTTGTTCATTTATCGAATCATACTGATCTACTCTTCGTGTTACTTCCCTTACTTTCTTCTTGGTTGTTGACTCCTGTTCCCGTTTAAGGCCTTTCCCTAAAACCGTGATAGTTGATAATCAGAACCTGTCAGTCCTTCAGGGACGATGGTTTATTTAGCCAAGTTGGCTCAGTGGAAACTACAGCATATTTTACACTCAGAACTCATTGTTGTATATTGTCCGTGCACTTCCGTAAACAATTGCCCTTATGGCCTTGTTAACTTCCTTTCCCGACTCGGTTAGGCAAATGTTGGGCGACTCGTGACTCACACAAACATAGACCAATTAGCGTCAAATGATTGAACCCGTCATATCAGTTTCCACTTGGATGTCTGGCTTGTTTACTTGATCCATCTGTTCACTCTGGTGGAACACTGCCGTCACAGAACCCAAATGGATTACGCGGTGGCTTTGTGGTTAGCGGTATACTGGTGACATCCCGTAGGTTCCGGGTTCTAGTCTCAGTGCTGCTTCCTGACGGGTGCAACCTAGCACGAAGCCGATTGTGGAGTGGGCAGTATGTTGCAAGCGGGTAGTATCCAATATTTATCTTTTTCAAATGCGGTCTAAGTGGTCGAATTAACTAGTCTTAACTCCAAAGTGGATTGTACTCCTGATTGGGTTCGCATATCTCTATCCCCTTACATAACACGTGTCTCAAAATGATCCTTCCAATGCGGAGATATTCATCTTTCTTTCTTCCCATCAGTTTATGAACTTCACCATTACAAGTACCTGCCATAATTGTAATCTTCCACTTTTGTATCTTCAAGTTACTATCAGGAAAATTTCCTACTTACCACCTTGCTTGCCTATTTTTTGACCAATTGGTGTTGTGATGTGATGTGATTTTTTGCCGCAAGACACTTCAGTTCAACTTGTGCACCTGTGTTTTTCAGAAAGTACCGATTTTTAAAATAGTCTCAACTGTATCCACCCCTGTTACGCTTCGATACGATTTTTATCTTGCGCGCCATCATTGGCTCCTTGTTTCCATACTTATCCCTTCTGTAACTATTCAGGACGCTCTGCAGCTCGTGTTACGAACTATGCAAGCAGTTCTGCGACGGACCTTGTCCTCTCCTTCCGTCTTTGCATGTAAGTGCCTTTAGTTTATGGTTGTTCCCCATGGAACTCATGGAGTTTTGATACAACGAGCACTCATTTACCTGTCCTGTTTTCAAGCCTTACACGGCCGATGTATTTCGGCACTGATAATCAGGACGGTTTAGACTTATCGATGCAAGACAGGGACCAAAATAACAACAATGGTGGTGCTGTTTTCACACCCTTTGCCTGATCAATGAGCGGTATTCATGCTAAGCACAATATTCTCTCTCAAATCGTTGGTTCTAGCTCAGTGAGGGTTGTTAAAATGAACCACAGTGCTGTTTGTCAGTGTATGAAACACAATGGCCTGATTCGTTTCAACCATATGTGCGAAGTTTGTATCAGTGATCGTCCTGTTCACCTCGTCCCTTAGCTACACGGGAGATATTCTCCCAGAGGTGTTCTCTTAAACGCCTTGCAATAGGGCTTATCAAGCCCACTCGGTAGAACCACCTGAATCATTGCGCCACGTTTGACCACTCTCTCAGACAACCTGTACAACAGCACTCTGCTGTTGATTCGATGCCTTGCTGCGAACGATAGTGATGTGTGTTTGAGGATTAGAAGAGACATATACATATTTTTCCTTTTCCACTTAGGCCTTAGAGTCAGTAGTTAGCCTAACATTCGAGATGTGTTTCGAGTAGTATTGGGATCATACTAAATTTAAGTGCGACGTATCCAATTAACGCTTTTTCTGACTAATTGGAGCATGTAACTGTTTTGACCAACGTTAGGTCAGGAGAGACAGCATGATCGTCCTTGTTAGATGGGGTGACCTGTGGCCACACAATCACTACCCATTAGGGGTCTACCTCTAGTACGCGTAAACGCATCATCCACTGTGTGATTAATGTCTGTGTTCACACTTATCGCCTTTTTGTACCCTCCGTCCAACTGTAATACAATAGCACCGTAGGCTCTTCTGTTCGCCTGCCTGTATTTTCTAGGTAGTTGCCTATGAATACGTTCGACGGCAAGATATGTGTAGGCCCTCATCATCGAAGAGGTTCCTTTGACTATTTTCCACTTTCATAGCGTCACTAACTCGACGAAATTTGAAGTTTGCACCTCTCACACGGTAGGTCAGACGATAGGTTTTATAGATAATGCCGCGATGATTCGTTCGGACTATGTGTGCAAAGCTAAGTCATGCTCGCGGACACGTTCAAATAAACGTCTCGAGGTACCACCCATTTAGGTCTGAGATGACCACTACAAAAACCTAGAGATATGCAGCTAGGCCAACTGAGAAAAAGTGTACGTCCTCAAGCTTCTACATGCAACACCGACACTGTTGTCGAGATAAGTCGCAGAGAGCCGGCCCAATACTTACCCACAATCACTCTGACTACGTTCCCAAATCCCGCGACCTCAAGTTGGCAAAGCCCTTATGGGTACGACACCGAAATAGCAAACAAAATGGTGGTTGGCTACACGGACTTACAGGTAAGTGGGTGCAGCCCCTATTTACTTCAACTCGAAATTCATCCACCACCACCCCCTGTATTACTCAATTGGCAACAATACAAACCGAAGCAAAATGAGTTCGTCGACTTCAGCATCCCCCCACCCCTGTATACTACGGATGTCAGTCCTTTTTTAGACTATCGCACACCACCAGTTCCTCCCCCACCAATCCTGCCCCTATCATGTGCGATTTTGAATCAGAGAATAATCAAACTATTGGAGTATGTACTTCATTCAGTTCAGTACGATCTGGAGCTCAGTGTGCCTCGCTACCTCACAACACACAGTTCTCAGATACAATGACGAAGAAACAAACTTTATTCACCACTTTCATTCCATATTAACAATGTCTTTCAATGCTGTCGTCATTAACATTCGTTCCCTTTTAGCTAAATTAGATCTACTTTCAACATTTATGTTTATGAGATCCCCCGATATTGTTTTTATCACTGCAACTTGGTGCACGTCAGAAATTAGTGATTCTCAGCTTAACACCTTAGGCTATAAACTTTTCCGCAAGGATCGCTCACACAAACGTGGTGGTGGCTGTGCCATATATCTTCGAAATAACCTGACTGCAATTCCCGCAGATCAACCTGTGTTCATTGACTTAGAAGATACACTATGGCTAGTGATCCCATCTATTGATCTTCTAGTGGGTTGTATCTATCGGCCGCCCCGAACTACTCAATTTGCAACCCAAAAGCTAATCGATATGATCAATGTTGCTTCCAGCACCACATACAAATCCAAAATTATGTGGGGATTTCAACCTACCACATGTTAACTGGACGCTGCCTACACTCAGAAACACGGCGGAGATGGAGGAAATTATCGCATGTATCCACTTCAATGGCTGGACTCAGCATGTTAGAGAGCCAACTAGAAGTGCTACTACCTTAGACCTTGTATTCACAATGGGAATGTCTTACGCTTATGCATTCATTGATAATCCACTACCTGGCTGTGATCACAACACGGTGCTTTGTGATATGACTATAGATTCAACTAAATGACCAAGTAAAATGCTAAAACCCATTCGCAACCTCCATCATGTGGACTGGAACTCATTTAATGAACTTATCAATACCATGAATTGGAATACGTCATTCCTAACTCACAACCCTACTGTGGCTGCAAATGAGTTGATTACCAATATTGCTCTTGGTGTGGATCTACTGGCACCTACTGTATGGAGAAATACCCATGAACATAGTGATGAACTCAAGCTTCTGTACAAGGCCAAAACCATACTAAATAAACCTAAATCGCAGGAACAACAGCTTCGCAACCTTGCTACAAATACACGAGAATCTGCTACAGGTACAACGTCTAACCCAAACGGCCAAAATCAAAGAAGAAAGTTAGGTACTTAGAAATCCAGAGAAGGTACCTACCTTGATGCAACTACTCAAAAGAAGAAACCCTAAACCACTTCAGGAAATTGAAACGTTGGCTCTAGACGATGGTTCAATAACGCGCGACATCTCCTGTATATGCGAGGCCATGAACTCTAGTTTTGCCTCGTCTTTTGTCCCCAACATTCAGCCACTTCATACTCCACTTCAAAAAAGGACGACCGAACCATACTGCAATATCCCTGTGACGTTAAGGGAGGTGCAAAGTGCCATCGCAGCCATATAGCCACCAAATCGTCCAGGCCCAGATGGCATCTCCCCAACTGTTATAAAACTCGGAGGAAAAAATCTCGGTCTATTGTTGTTAAACGTCTTCACACTTTCACTCACTACCGGCTGCTGTCCAGCTCAATGGAAGCAATCCATTGTAATGCCTAAGCACAAGGGTGGACCGAGAAATCAAATGTCAAGCTACCGCCCAATAAATCACACCTCTGCTGCTTCCAAAACCCTAGAGCGAATAGTCAAGAAGAACATCGTTCAATATCTTACAAGACTGGATCTGATCAACCCCTCACGGCACGGCTTTCTCTCAAGACCTTCCTGCGTTACATGCCAGCTACAATTTCTCGCTCACGTCATGACTATGATTGACAGAGGAATGGCAACTAGTATAATTCTGTTGGACATGCAAAAGACGTTCGACCGCGTGCGGCACAAGCCACTGCTGTCTGCTCTAGAGTCATGGGGAATTGGACATCCTCTGCTTAATTGGTTCGACTCATATCTAAACGGTCGAACACAGGTAGTTAAACTCGGTCAGCGATATTCCAGACCGAAATAAATAACCAGCGGCGTCTTTCAGGGAAGTGTGCTCAGAGCACTACTTTTCCTAATCTACGTAAACAATATATGTGACCGATCAAACATGGACACCCATTTCTGTTGGTAGATGACGTCAAACTGGTTTACTCATTTCATCCAGACCAACTACAAACGTGCCTGAGAAGCATCTGTGAAGACCTATCCGCACTAGATATAGCTAGTGAGCGTTTATTAATGAAGTTCTCCGCAGTGAAATCCTAAGTACTTGGGTACAGATGCCGCATCCCCGAAGGCTCTATCATACTTGCCGGAAACGTGATCCCAACGTCCGACTCAGTTCGGGACTTAGGAATTACATACTCCAACTCTTTCAATTTCTCCGAACATGTGCTTCATCAGGTTGCGAAAACAAGGCAGTTATGCGGATATATCACCAGAACTTTTTCCCTTGAAGCACGACTTGAGTCACTCAAGACAGTAGCGCGACCGATTTTGGAATATTGTACTATCGTTCACAGCCAATTGAGAAAGACAGAACGACTCTGGAAAATGTCCAACGGTCATTTACCAAGCTGGTCATGGGGCGCTGCTCAAACCTAAGTTATTATGATCTCTGTCGAAAACTCCAACTGGATCTTCTTTGGCCGAGACGCTTAAAGAACAACCTCATTCTCTTCTACAATATTATAAACCAACGAATTTATAGACACTACCGCACTTGAACTACGGAAGACTGCAGTCTACCCCACACGTAATGGCGGCTACTTGCTACGCACAAAGCTTGTAAGTCATAAAACTCGATCGGATTTCTTCCTAGTCAGATACACTGATCTGTGGAACAAACTACCCCTACAGATACGCATGTGTTACAGCCATGTCACGTTTCGAAATTTCCTTCAAACGTTCTTCACTATACCAAATGTGTTGAAGATAATTGACTCACAGCAAGCTCTAGCAACATTGACGGAAGCTGGTATAAAAGACAGATGAGCAGATGTTCGCTTACAACTAGCTTACCCACTACATGTCATTACGTACAGTACCAAATCCTGTGTCTGTGCAGCCTAGTATCCCCTCCCTATTATTATCTACTCATGTTCTCCACAAACTAGAAAATAATGATACAAACATCCGTAAATTTTACATATTAGGTGCACGGGTCTAGGACCCGAGGAAAAAAAATCATGATCCGAAATTCTATTAATAAACTTTTCTTTACTATTATGATTTACGCCGCATAAACCATGAAACCTATTCACTATACAAATGATCGCTCCCACTTATGGGGCCGTGTACCGTCTGTCGGTAAATATACAAATTTGTTCATTTCTTTAT